GAAAGAAAGAAAGAAAGAAAGAAAGAAAGAAAGAAAGAAAGAAAGAAAGAAAGAAAGAAAAAATAAAATAAACCTTAAAACTCTGAGAGACATAAAACAATGCTCAAGAAATGGGGAAAGTGAGTGTGATGTGATGAACATGTCACTTCTCCCTAAATTAATGTAAACTTTCCATGCAATACCAATTAAAACGCCAGCCAATTTGGCCTGGGGAAGGGTGTACAACAAATGCTAATAAAATTAGCTTCAAACACTAGAGACCAGCCTAGCCATGAAAGCACTAAAAAACAGGAGGACTGCTAGAGACCTAGCCTCCCAGATGTTTAAAAGCTACAATAATGAAAAGCATCTGGAGCTGCAGAAGAAATAAACAGATCAATGAAACAGAACAGAGATTACACAAATAGAATTTAGAAATGTAATGTACGATAAACGTGCATTTCATATCATCAGGAAAAGGAGGATCATCCAATAACTGATGCTGGAACAGCTGAATATTTGTGGGGAAATTAAGTTGTAATTTTACCTTATTCTTTACAACTAGTAAGTTCCAGATTGATTTAAATATTTCATTGTTAAAAATGGGGTCACAAAAGTCTAAAAGAAAGTATGGATATTTATAATACTGGAGTGAAGGTCTTCAAAGTAGGACACAAAATCCAGAAGCCACAAAGAAAAAGGACAAATCAGACCATAAAACTTAGAGTTCCATGGGAAAAGATGAGAGGCAAGTGGTGAGTGTAATTCCAGGCTAACCAGCTTATTCAACAGAGAAACGGACACAAATAAAAAGAAAAATGAGCAAAGTATATGAAAGTTTACCTAAAAAAATGGAGAAATAGAAAAGGCCAACAAAATATAAAAGGTGACCAATCTGGCTTTAAAAAAAAGAAACTGGGGGCCCCTGAGTGGCTCAGTCAGTTGAGCAGCTGACTTCGGCTCAGGTCATGATCTAGAGGTTACATTTGGACCCACATGGGGCTTTTCGCTGACACTGTGGAGCCTGCTTCAGATTCTGTCTTCCTCTCTCTGTCCCTCCCCCACTCCCTCTCTCTTTCTCTCTCTCAAAAATAACCATTAAAAAAATAAAAATAAAAATAACAGGGCACCTGAATGGCTCAGTTGGTTAAGCGACCAACTCTTGGTTTCGGCTCAGGTCATGGTCTGTTTCGTGAGTTCGAGCCCCACGTCTGGCTCTACACTGGCAGTGCAGAGCCTGTTTGGAATATTCTCTCTCTCTCCCTCTTCCTCTCTCTCTCTCTCCCCCTTGCTCTCTGCCCCTCACCCACTCAGCTGTCTCTGCCTTTCTCAAAACAAATAAATAAACTTTAAGGATAAATAAAATTAAATTAAAATAACAAACAGAAACCAGAATCAAGAGATAACATATTTCCCTTTTAGGATTAGAAATCTGTTTTCACTGTGGCAATTGTGGTTGTGATATAAGCTTCCACATACTATTGGTAGGTGTATAATCAGCCAATCTTTCCGGAGGGCAAAGATCCACCAAAGCAAAAAACACCATACATACACCCTACAAATTTACCCAATAGAAATTCTAGCAAAAGGTAAACAAGATTTATGTAAAAGGAAGTCCATTACAGCATGGCTTATCATGAATGAAAAGTCATTAAATAAACCACCAATATGGCCCTTTTAAAATCAACAAAATACTCTTTCTTGATAATTTGAAAGCTCTCATCATGTACATACACAGGTGGTTTTCATTTATTGTAACATTTTTGTCAAATATAACACACCTACAAAAAAAGTGTATTAAAAACTGTCTTACAGTCTGTCAAATATAGTTTTCCAGCAAACACTTGTGCAGCCAATACCAGAATAATGCCAGCCCCCCCAACCTGGCTGATACGAAAATGAGGGTGGAAAACCTCCCTGAAGACGAGAGGGAAGCTCTGAAGGGTGCGGCTCCTGCGTTACCACTCCAGCAGTCCGAAGGAAGAAGCCTACTTTACTACCCAGCACGAGAACCATTTTCTCCTGGCCTGAGCAGCAGCCCAGCCAATGAGAAACTGCCAAACTTAGCCAAGGAGAAGCAGCCGCCATCCTCCAATGGGCTTTCATTTCAAGCAGCCCCGCCCACCCCTTCTCCCTACTGATTGGTTCTCCAGACTTGCCTGTGCTTCCCTGCAGCCTGCCTGCCCTGGATTGCGGTTCCCCTGCTATTCGGAATAAACCGGCTTCGCTAGTATAATAACGATTTTATTTTCAAAGTTGACACCATCACAGTCCCCCCCCCCCCAAACAGTAACCACCATCCTGATTCTCAGGGGAACCAGGTCCCTGATCTCCTTTAGAGTCTCACCACTTACATTCATAAACGATACCTTTTAACACTGCTTTGTAATTTTATATAATTGAATCAAAAGTTATTTGATGTCTTGCTTCTTTCACTCAACATTAGGTCTACAATGTTTATTCTGCAGGCATCTGTTTTCATCTAGGTTTAAAATATAAACAGAAGCTGTCTGGACTTTAGGATTATGGGTCTTTATCCAAATTGGGAAAACACACACACACACACACACACACACACACACACACACGCACAACTAGTAAGTCAGTTATTTATAAAGGTATTATTGTTGACTTGTGTAACTTTTTTGTATTTTATTTTTAAAGTAAAATGTATTACTCTTTTTTAAATGCTGAGAAAAATTCATAATCCCATTGGTCAGATAATCTCTCTAAACTACCATGGGCTAATCCAGCCTACCACCTGTTTTTGTATGGCCTGCAAGCCAAGAATGATTTTTTAATGGTTTTTAAAAATCAAAAGAATACGCCATACTCACTTACGGTTTTATGACTGCTTCTGCACTACAATGGCAGAGCTGAGTAACCACATGGTCTACTAGCCAGAGAAAAAGTCTGCAAACCCTGCTCTAAACCATGAGAAGCAGCAGTCCAGGTGAAGCTAACTTTAAACTAGAGAGAAGAAACCAGCACCTGGCCAACTGAACAGGGATCTGGAATGCAATACCAGCACCTGGCCAACTGAACAGGGATCTGGAATGCAATACCAGGGTTCCATAGCTGCCGAAGTACTCTTCATCCTGCCACGTGTCTTCAGGATCACACTCCTCCAAATGCTTCCCAAGGTGGTTTGCAGGTATGTACCCGCAGCAGCCTGCGCGCTCGCCCCACCACCAATCAGCAGTTGTCTGTCTCAGGACGAGAATTTTTTCCCCTCTCAAAAAGCTGAGCTGGAAAAAACATACACAGAAGTCAAAATTCAAGAAAAACCTGAAAGTGGTATTTCAATTGTGGCTCAGTGATAAATCCCCCATAACTGGGGCCCAAATCACAGCTATTTCAAAAAGGACCCAACAGGTAATTATACCAACTCACAATTTGTGAAAATGATACCAAGGTTTAGAGATTTTTATGGAACATCTACATGAAAGAAAAGCACGTGGTATTTTTTAAAGGAAAGATGAAACATTTTCAAATGGCTTAGGACAGAATTTCTGAACAGCCGCTTCACAGTAACTCTTACACAGTTACATTTACACAGTAAAATGTGGTAGGTGATTCATTTACTGGGTTACAAAGTAGGAAAAGCTACATTCAAGTCAGTATCTTTATCTTATAGCCTTATTTTTCATTAACTAGAATAGGTTCTAAACCAAGGTTTCCAAACAGAAATTGGAGCAGGTGCTTCCCCCGATTCCTTACCAGGTATCTTTCACCTAAGGCTTGGGACTGGAACTTGTTAGGGTAGAAGAGAAGGGTCACTCACAGGTCTCACTGGGCTCTAAACGTCTGAATACCTCTTTACTTAACTTTGGTATGACTTCTTCAAATATTACATCTACTTCTGTCATTTAGCATACTGAATCAAAAAAAAAAAACATGGACCGAGGCCCATGGCCACTGCACGTGAGCAAGTGCGTCGGGTTACCTGCGTCTGGTCAGTGGCAGAATAGTCTGCAATGGCCACAAACTCTTCCGGGTGCGCACCCTCCTGGAGATGCTCCTGGCCACCACATTCCATGAGACCCTCTCCCTCCTGCTCAAAGCAAAGGAAAGAACAGGAGATGACTATGGTGCTTCTCTTTCTGTCCATCCTAATAACTTGTAGCCTTTTGGTTATTTCATTTGGGTTCAAATGAAGATTCGTGTGACCAGATTTAATCCTACAAGTTGAGTCATCTTCAGTAGCAGGATCAAGGGATCTCACCTTCGCTCTACCTTTATGTCTCTAGTACAAAATTATTAATACATCCTAAAGAGAACATCAAAGAAAGAAATAAGAGGCACTTTTAGCATCTACCTGGTGACTGACCCTGAACATCATCCTCAAAGTAGTGACCAGCCCTAAGAGAAAGAAGACCTGTTCCTGGGCATCACGCTCTGGGGACCTTGTCAGACCCGAGGGCAGAACTGCAGAACTGGGCAGCCCTCAGGAAGGTGCTAGGGACCGGCACAACCCTCGCAGCCTCACTCAGACTGCACTGCTGCTGTCACACGCTGCTCAGGACCCAGAAGGGGAGCCCTAGAGTGCACCTGCCCAGTCTCCACTTTCCATCAGAACAGACTTGCCATGAAGACACCCATTGGGGGTGGGAGAACCTCCAACCACACGTTCCAGTTCAATGAAGCAACCCTGTCCCCATATATACATTTTAAACAAATTTTCCTGAACAAATGTAATTCACATTCTTTGGAAAATGTGTGAAAGCACAAGTGTACCCAGAGGAAAATTACAACCATCTGTAATCTTGCTCACTGGTCAGGGATAATGATTAACATACTAACATTTATATTCTTTCCAGCTTTTTTTTTTTTAAGTGTACATATAATATGCGCATATAGGGTATTTATGGAGATCATATAATTCTGCCTTGTGACAAGTTTCCCACTCATTAAATTGTGAGTATTTGGGGCGCCTGGGTGGCACAGTCAGTTGAGTGTCCAACTTAGGCTCAGGTCATGATCTCATGGTTCATGAGTTTGAGCTCCGCGTCAGGCTGTGTGCTGACAGCTCAGAGCCTGGAACCTGCTTCGGATTCTGTGTGTGTCTCTCTCTCTGCCCCTCCCCTGCTCATGCTCTGTCTCTGTCTCAAAAATAAATAAACATTAAAAAAACTTTTTTAATTGTATTTTCCTCATTAAATTACTTCTAAATACATTTCTAATATCTGATAGTATTCCATTCTATGAATAATCTTAATTTATTTATCTGATCTCATTATGTATTCTTAAACTGTTTTCAGTTTTTACATTACAAATTATGTAAGACAAACTTTTTTAAAAAAATTTTTTTAACACTTACTTATTATTGACAGAGAAAGACAGAGCATGAGCATGGGAGGGGCAGAGAGAGGAGACACAGAATCCGAAGCAGGCTGCAGGCTCTGAGCTGTCAGCACAGAGCCCGACATGGGGCTCGAACTCACGGACCGTGAGATCATGACCTGAGGCAAAACCAAGAGTCAGATGCCCAGCCAGGTGCCCCACTTTTATAACTTCTGATATCACCACCAAATACCCTCCAGAAAGGTAGCTCCTCAGACCTACATAAGACTAAAAGAGGGGCACCAGGGTGGCTCAGTCAGCTAAGCATCCAACTCTTGATAGCGGCTCAGGTCATGATGTCACAGTCGTGGGTTCAAGCCCCGTGTTGGGCTCTGCACCAACAGCATGGAGCCTGCTTGGGATTCGCTCTCTCTCCACCCTGCCCCTCGCTCCCCCTCCCCTGCTCATTCTCGCTCTCTAGTCTCTGAATAATCATAAAAGAAAACAGTGAATGGTTTTCCCACACCCTTATCAACAGTGGACATGCATCATCACTCAACTCTGCCAGTTTGATGTGGAGACACTGTCTTTGTTAGTTCCATTTGCCTTTATTTTTTTTATAATTTTACAATTTACTATTTTATCTTATTTTAATTTTATTTTTTGACAGAAAGCAGGGGAGAGGGGCAAAGGGATGGAAAGAGAATCTTAAGTAGGCTCCATGCTCAGTGCAGGGCCCAAGCTGGAGATCAATCCCATGACCCTGGGATCATGACCTGAGCCGAAATCAAGAGTCAGACGTTGAACTGACTGAGCCACCCAGGTGCTCCAGTTCCATCTGCCTTTAATTTTTAGTGAGGTCAAACATGTTTTTCAAGTACTTTTTGGTCATCTTTTTTGTTAGTTGCCTATCTGTATCCTTTGCACATTTTCTTACTACAGTAATCTGATTCATTTTACACAGTATAATTTCCTTTTTAGCTTGCTCCCCTTCCCCTGCCCCTGCTCCACCTACATCATCAGCTTCTCACCGCCCTCCCTAACCTTTACCAGTCACCTGGCACATCCTCCCACACTTTCTCCATGCTCGTGTCACACACACATCCATGCACACATACACCCACACACATGCGGTTTTTCTTCTGACATAGTTGTTTGTGAAGGATGTCACAAACCCTTTTATTAATTTTGGGTTTTTTTTACTCACATTATAACTTGCAAAAAAAACCTCCCCAATTCTTAGAACTCTAATTTATAATTTCCAATGACTATATAATACTCTACAAAAGGAATTCTTCCTGATTCTTCAGTCACCCTTGATTGATGGACTTTCTCTTGGTGTCCAACTTTCTACCACAGTAAACAACGTGGCCACAAACATCTCTACACATTTATCCTTATGTCATGATATTTTACTTCTATGGGATAGATTATCAGGGCGGAAAAATATGCATGGTTTTCATTCACACATTTTCCAGATTCTTTCCATCAAAGGTGCAGCACTTCACACTTCACGGCAATGCAGCGAGTGCTCTCTGCTTGAATACTCACCAGCAACCGGCATTATCACAGTCTTTAATATTTTCCAGAGTTTTAGATATAAAGACACCAGAAAAGTAAATATGTAGGGAGACAAGACTATTTCTTATCCTTTATAAGAAAGACTTAAACAGTGTAAGGAAACAATAATAATTCATTATGGGGCTTATGACATATAAAGAAGTAAAGTATGTTACAACAATAGTACAAATAGCACAAAAATAGGGGCTGGTAAAGGCAAGTAATTTGGAGGAATCTTACATCATGAAGTGGTCGGAAAAAAAAAAAGGTTAAAGATGCATATCACAATTTCTTGGGTAACCACTAACATATCAGTAAAAGATACACATGAAAAGCCAATAGAGGAGATAATGTGGAATTGCAAACAATATTTTATTAATCAAAAAGGAGGCAAGAATGGAGAAAGGTACAAAGAATATGCAAAGAAGAAATAGAAAAACAGCAAGATGTTAGACTTAACCATACCAGTCATTATGTTAAATGTTAACAGACTAAATACTCCAATTTAGGAGCAGAAGTTACCCGACAAGGGGGAAAAATGACATACCTATAGGCTCTTTACAAGAGAAACATTTTAAATATATGGACTTAGATTTAAAATAGATTCAAAATATTGGTGTATGTGTACCACGCAAGCTGGTACAGCTGTATTAACATAAGACAAAATAGACACAGGGCAAGAAATATTAATAGGTAAAAAGAAAGACTTCATAAAAATCCATCAATCTAGAAAGTAAAATCTACCCTAAATCCATGCACCAAGTAACAGATTCAAAATATATGAAGCAAAAAGTGACAGATTCAAAAGGAAATTTAAAAAAAAAAGACAAATCCACAATCAAAAAGGACATTTTTGAAGCTCATCTCTCTCAGTAACTGACACAACAAATGGGCAAAAAGTCAGAAAGGACACAAAAGACTTAAACAACGCTAATAACCCATTTGACCTTGATGACATTTATAGAAAACCAACAACCACAGCAAACATGCTCTTTGCACATGCATGTGGAACATTCGCCAAAACAGCCCATCTGACTAGGTCACAAAGCAGGCCTGAATAAACTCGCAAACACTGAAACTTTAAATAGTATCTTTTCTGAACAACATAAGCAAGCCAAAATTAAATAACAAAAAGATAAGCAAAAATTCCTAAATGTCTGAAGATAGACAACACATGTCTGAATAGCCCAGAAATTTTCTAATTTCCACTATAACATATTAGAAAGTATTTTAACTGATCAACAATGAAAATATGATGTGTATAAGCGTGTGAGGTACAGCAAACCGATGGTCAGAGGTAAAGTTACACCTTTAAAAACATATATTAGAGAAGGAAGGTTTGTGTGTGTGTGTGTGTGTGTGTGTGTGTGTGTGTGTGTGTGTTTTTAACACTTATTTATTTTTTGAGAGACAGAGACAGAGCATGAGCGGGAGGGGACAGAGAGAGACGGAGTCACAGATTCCAAAGCAGGCTCCAGGCTCTGAGCTGTCAGCACAGAGCCAGACGCAGGGCTCAAACTCACAGACTGTGAGATCATGACCTGAGCCCAAGTAGGACTCTTAACCGACTGCGCCAGCCAGGCGCCCCTTAGAGAAAAGGAAGGTTTAAATCAGTGATCCAAACTTCCATCACAAGATGCTATAAAAATAGAAAATGAAACCCAAAGTATAAAAGAAATAAAGAGAAAAGAGAAAACCAATGAGATAGAAAACAGATGAACACAGAGAAATTCAACAAAGACAAAATGGGTTCTTTGAAAAGATGAAAGTGATAAAACCCCTTAAAGGTGATCAGGGGAAAGAAAGATAAAACACAAATTTTGAATAGCAGGCATCTCTTCTGTAATGAAGAGTGCTATTAACCGGATGAACACAAACAGTACAGAAATACTTCCATGACAGATGCCCAAGTAATTAAGAACTAAATAACAAGATATCATTTCTAACTCATCAGACTGAGCAAACTTTCAAAGTCTGATGCTCTCAAGTGTTACCAAGCACTATATGGGTTCCTGGCAGACCAGTAAACTGGAGAACAACTGATCACTATCTAGTAAAACTGAAAATATGCAATCCCTTCCACCCTGCAATGCCATTACTAAGTATACACCAGAGAGCACGTATGCACAAGGAGATGTGTAGGATATTTGCTGCAGCACTGCTGGAAATAGACAAAAACTGGAAACATCAAGTGTCCACAAAAGGGAAATAAATAAAATGTGGTGTACATCTACTGTATAACAGTAAGACTGCAACTGACCTGCATACATCAAGGGCAAATACCCCAAAAGTAACATTAGTGGAGGGGCGCCTGGGTGGCTCAGCTGGTCAAGCATCTGACTTCAGCTCAGGTCACGATCTCTCGGTTCATGTGCTGACAGCTCAGAGCCTGGAGCCTGCTTCAGATTCTGCGTCTCCCTCTCTCTCTGTCCCTCCCCCACTAGCGTGCACACACGCGCGCTCTCTCTCTCTCTCTCTCTCAAAAATAAATGTTAAAAAAAATTTTTTTACAGTAACAGTGGAAAAAGCAAGCAGCAGATGACACAGAATATGAAGCCACTTAAGTAAAATCTAAAAAGCACACACACAGAGTATCATATGTTGGTCAAAGATGCCTATACTAGGTATAAAAACGTAAAAAAATGGTGCAGAAGCACAAAGATCAGTTTATAATTCACAGTAGTATTTGCCTGTGGAAACAGAGGAAGAAGAATGGGGCTGGGGCACAAACTTTATCTATGGTTTCCTTCAAAATATATACATATATGTATATATATTTACACTCTAAAGCAAATACGACAAAATGTTAACAAGTTTTCACTTTTGTGTGGCATGTACAAATAATGTTTGCAATATTATTCTATAAAGTTCCAACATTTTAAAAATTTCTCAAAAGAACAGGACATCCATGGAATTAAAAAGTTTTATGATTAAGAAAGATTAATGACACAACTATGAATCAAATCTATATATGAAAACCCAAATGAAATTAAAACAACCATTAGAAGGCTAGAAAAAAAAGAAATGTTAAAATTGGACATCACAGATATAAAAATGTTTGATTTTTTAAAAAAGATTATTTGAGTATTCATTTGGTTTTTAATTTGATATAATCAACATTCCTTGAAATGTAGGGTAATCTTTTTTTTACTAATAAGTTGAATGAAACTAGATGTGTTACAGGCAGAAAAAAAGTATGAATATATAAATCACTTCTAATGTGTCTAACCTGCTTATAAGACATTATGCCTAGGACCTTATTAAACAACTAAAACAATGTGCTTGCTTCACCAGCACAGGTACCAAAGGTAGGTTTCCTGGGAGGTGTTTATGATGCCCAACTCAGAATGCCATCTGTAATTTCCTCTATGTAAGCATCCCATGGTTGGTGGCTAAGCTCTGCTCTCTGCAATGTTCATAGTTTTTAAATACAGGTTCTTACATACTAGACCTGAAATTACCTGCAATTCACTTCTGGGGCAGTCATCTGATGTTGCCATGGTTCTCTTAGGATCTGCCGCATAGCTGCCGCTTTTAATGTTTCATTTTCCCCTCCATTTCTACTTTTGAAAAGAGAGAGAATGAGAAAATACTTTGTTACCCTGCATAATAATTAGGTTTGCTTCACTTCTACGGTCCATGATAAAGATCCTATGCCAAAAGGAAGTAAAACGGGTTTTTAAAGAATGAAACAGAAATCAAATTTATAAATGAAATTCTTCATGAAAACAATAGAAAGCATTTGAAATTTATGAACTTCTGTGTGTTTTCTTCACTAGTCTACAAAGGTGCTGATCTTATTTATTTAATGAATACTGTTAGTTTCTGTTAGATTACTGAATTGATTTAAAACAACAAATTAATGCCAAATCTTTTCTTGGAACCCTGACAGCCTTCACTCCAATTAAAATTCCTTACTGTCAAAATCAAGGAAACCTCATTTGAAATGTAGTCCGGACACCAGCAGGGGGAGCTCTCACACCCTACCACTCCTTATAGACCAGACAGGAAAAAGTTCACTTTCCTACCACAGCAGGGTCTCCTACCCAGGCAGCAGCCCAGCCAATGAGAAACAGCCAAACAGCCTTAGCCCAGCCAATCAGGAAGGGTGACCACCCACACTCACTTTCCTCCAATGGCCTTTCCTTCAAAGCAGCTCCTCCCAACTTCCTCCTTTTTTTCTTTTCTTTCTTTTTTTAATAGAGAAGGTGAGCAGAGGAGGAGGGGAGGTGCAGGGAGAGAGGGAGATAAAGAGAATCTTAAGCAGGCCCTACGCTCAGCCCTGAGCCCCATGATGGGGTCCTGGGGCTTGATGTCACAACCTTGTGATCATGACCTGAGCCCAAATCAAGGGTGAAATGGAAATGCTCAACAGAATGAGCCACCCAGGTGCCCCACCTTTTTTCTCTATATAAAGTAACCTTCCTCTCCTACACTAGTCCATTTGCCAGTAGTTTCCCCATAGTTTGCAGGTCTGAAATTGTAATTCCTCTGTCATTTCCAAATAAACCCACTTTTCTGGTAAAAATAACTGGTTGTTTTATTTTCAAGGTCAACAGCACCTGGGGCTTTCAAGTGTTTCCACTAACAGGAACCAAAAAGTCTACATCTTCCAGAGGCTTTCCCTTCTCATTTTCAGTTCTCATTTTTCCCCGTGACAGTATAATCCATACTATACTCCAACATGAATGTGTTTTTTCTTACATAACAATGCTTTGTTTAAAATGCATGCTTCACTTATTCATGACTTAATACTTATTTTTGTGGGATCTATAATTACAATGTGAAAATTAACAGAACAGAGTCGTTTAGAATGGAGTCAGAGGAGGCCAGTAATGAGCGCTACCTGCAGACCCACCAGAAAGAGCAGATCCCGCAGTGGATACTACTACACTCTTCTAGCAGCAGAAAGGATTTCCTCCTCCCCCCAGCAACAGTACAACCAATGAGAGACTATCACAACCCAACCAATCAGAAGCCACTACACTTTCAACTCTCAGCCATAGACTGCTTATCCTGGATTGTAATTATCTGCCATTCTTAAATAAACCCATTTTTGCTGCCAAAATACCTAGCAGGGTTTTGTTGTTTTTGTTTTAGGGTTAACAACAAACACTAATATATATACATTGTATTTTCATTGGAAAACACTGGCACTGGGGCCAGGGCGGGATGGAGCCTGGACAGGGATGGTTTGCTGGAAGGGGCTGGGGAGGGTGAGGCTGGATCCGGTTGATGGGGCAGGGCCAGGTGGGCTGACCCGCCTGCGGGGGGGGGGGGGCGGGGCCCCACCGGGTAGACGACCCAGGATCAGGGACTAGTGGCCAAAGGCAATAGGGGATGGGAGGAGAAAGAATGAGGGGGATATGAAGTGAAACACAGGGCTTAGATGCAGGAGTACTACCAGGGGTAAGGAGGAAAGGGAGGGGGCTCACAGAGGATGAGGGCTCGCGCAGACGAAAGTGAGGTGGGCACCTCTCCGAGAAGGCGTGGCTGGGGAAAGCGGCACCGCGTTGTTGGGCGTGGTGGGGGGGGGGGAGGAACCAGGGTGGTGGGCGTGGCCGGGAGGGGGCGTGGCCCTGCAGTCGCCGAGCTTGCAGTCAGCGGCCAGACCTCCTAGCACATAAGAGGGAGGTTCGGGGGTCTTCAAGGGGATAGAGGCCTCGGTCGGCCTACTGACGCACACGCCCGGTAAGGACCCTCACTTGGCACGTCCTACCTCAGTTCGGTCCAGCCGCCTGAGCTGCCCACGAGAAACCTACCTCAGCCGCCTTTCTCCGCTGAGTTCTGCGTCCACACCGCCGGTGCGGAGGGGCAGACAGCGCTTACCAGGACCCGAGCCACCGCCCTCGGCCCGCGCAAGCGCAGTACGCGCAGGCCGGCAGCGGCCAGAACCCCTCCCTAGGCCCCGCTCCCTACGCCTGCGCAGTCCGCACTCGTCCCTATGTCCGGGTAAAGGAGCCACAGTCTTCGGCCCCACGCAGGCGCAGTCGCTCAGGCCCGTCTAGGAGAAGGACCAGTTCTGGGCCAAGCGCGTCGCGCAGGCGCACTTCACGAGTCCCGTCTCCCGCAGTGGCGCGCACGGGGATCACCGAGCCCCCTTCTGTGCCCGCTGAGCCTCCTGTAGGGGCGGGGTCAGCGATGGGGTTGCAGCCGGTTGTGGGTCCCCAGCCTGGTTGAGGCGGTGGGTGGCGGAGACCCGAACCGTACGCGAGTTGGGGATGTGGAGCGATGGCAGCCGGACCCGAGTTAGTGGAGGGGGGACAGTGGAGGCCTCACCCAGTGTTGGGAGCGAGGCAGCAGGGGCCGCTGCTGGACTTTGGTTAGGAGGTGGGGCAGCGGGGGCTGCGGATGGACCCGGGTTAGGGGGTGGAGCTGGAGGGGCCGGGACCGTACCCGGGTTAGGGGGTGGGGCAGCCTGAGCCAGGACCGGACCCGGGTTTAAGGGGTGGGGTGGCGGGGGCTGCGGGTGGACCCGGATTAGGGGGTGGGGCAGCGGGAACCGGGACCGTACCCGGGTTAGGGCGTGGGGCGGCGGGGGCTGCGGATGGACCCGGGTTAGGGGGTGGGGCTGCGGAGGCCGGGGCCGAACCCGAACCCGGGGCCGAACCCGGGTTAGGGGGTGGGGCAGCGGGGGCCGGGGCCCGACCCGGGTTAGGGGGTGGGGCAGCGGGAACTGCGGGTGGACCGGGATTAGGGGGTGGGGCAGCCTGGGCCAGGGCCGGACCAGGGTTAGGGGGTGGAGCAGCGGGGGCTGCGGCCGGTCCTGGAGTGGGGAACAGAAACCCATTGTGGGTGACAGAAATGGCAGATTTCTGGAGTAGGCCCTCCTTTTTTCTGCTTTTCTGTAATAATTCAGTTAGCTTTCCCATCTATGCTGTGAAGTGAGAACCATTTGACATTCTTTTCACTTGACAAATCAGACATTGATTTAAGTTTTCATTTCACCAAGAAGTTTGATATTAGAAGGGAAATAGGGAAACGTTAGTGCCCTTACTGTGTGGTGGTCTCAAGGTGGGCAGGTAGCAGCACTGTAGTAGGGGTGGGGGGTCGGGGGGAGGTGGTAGGAAAAGGTAGTCAAAATCACGCAGACAATGGAGTAGTGGTTGCCCGGGGGAGGAGAGGAGAGTAAAGAGGTGAAGTTGATGGGTATGGCGTTTGCGTTTTTTGTTTTTTTAAATTTTTTTTCAACGTTTATTTATTTTTGGGACAGAGAGAGACAGAGCATGAACGGGGGAGGGGCAGAGAGAGAGGGAGACACAGAATCGGAAACAGGCTCCAGGCTCTGAGCCATCAGACCCAGAGCCTGACGCGGGGCTCGAACTCACGGACCGCGAGATCGTGACCTGGCTGAAGTCGGACGCTCAACCGACTGCGCCACCCAGGCGCCCCGGGGTTTGCGTTTTTACAAGATGAAAAGAGTTAGGGAGATGGATGTTGACAATAGTTGCACGCAAGGGAAATATATTTAATACCACTGAAGTGTGCATTTATAAATGGTGAAGGTGGTAAATTTTGTGTGCATTTGACCACGATAAAAAAAAGCAGGAAAACAAACTATGAGGAATGAAAAGGGAATTAAGTACATATTCTATAGATTTTTTGTTAATGTTTATTTATTTGAGAGAGAGCATGAGCAGGGGAGGGGGAGAGAGAGAAAAGAGAGAATCTGAAGCAGGCTCCACACCGACAGCAGAGAGCTTGATGTGGGTTCAAACTCGGGAACTGAGATCATTACCTGAGCCGGTATCAGATGCTTAACAGCTTAACTGACTGAGCCACCCAGGCTCCCCTGGATTCTGTGAATTTTTAAAAGATAATGAACATATGATGAAGCTATATGTCAAAAATTTTAGCAAATCATAAAGTGGGAAAATTCCTTGAAAAACAACTTACCAAAACTGAACAAGAATATTTCGAAATGGGGCGCCTGGGTGGCTTAGTCAGTTGGCAACTGACTCTTGATTTCTGCTGGGGTAATGATCTCGTGGTGGTGGGACTGAGCCCTGTGTAAGGCTACGTGCTGAATGTGGAGCCTGCTTGGGATTCTTTCCTTCTCTCTCTCTCTCTCTCTCTCTCTCTCTCTCCCCCCCCCCCCCCGTTCATGGTGTGTGTGTGTGTGTGTGTGTGTGTGTGTGTCTTTCTCTTCCCCAAAATAAATAAATAAACATTTCAAAAAGACATTAGAAAATCTGCATAGTTCCATATTTGTTAAAGGAATTGATTTTATCACTTAAAACCTTCTCACAAAGAAGCCCAGATGGCTTCACTAGTAAATGCTTCCAAACATATTAGCAGAATATGATATCAGTGTTAAACATTTTCTTCCAGAAAATAAAGTGCAATACTTCCTAACTGGTTCAGTGAGGCCAGCATAACTCTGCTATAAATCAATCCAGTGAAAGATAAAATTACATATCATGACCAAGTGTGGTTTACTCTAGGAATGAAAGCTTGTTTAAAATTTAAAAATCAAAATTATTTCCACATTTCAGGTTATAGGATGAAAAACATAGGTGCAGAAAAAAACATTTCATAAAACTTGACACCCACTAAATTC